TTTTTGAAGTCAGTCCTGAAGGTTTCAGTTGAATTTACCCTGCCTGTTTAAGACTCACTGGAATCAATGGTTAGAGCCAGGAAGATCAGATTCCCTCCAAAAGCAATGGAGGCATTCGTCCAAGAGCTGGGGTGGGGGGATCCCTCACAATGTTTGTGCTCTCCCCTTTGCTGGGAGGGAGAAGCTGTACCCTGCTACCCCTGGAAATCTGCTTTGTTGGCCTGGCATCCTAAGGATGTGCCCAACTTGCTTAGTAGAGGTCCTCCTCATCCGGCAAGCCAAGCAGTGGAATGTAAGCCCTCCGGGGATTTAAAAAAAAGTCTGGCGGTGCAGGAAGGTATCTACCTTCAAGCCGAAGAATTTATGAAACCTATTCCCCAGCAATTGTCTTGGTAGCCTGCCTTCTTACCCAGCGCCCACCGTGCGACGCTGTCATCAGGAATGGCTGGCCCTTGGGCATGCGGTCATTTTCCAGGCAATGCGATATGACTGCAGGTTTCACAGAACGGTAACTAACAAGGTATCCCGCTCACGAGCTCTGGGTTACACGGGGCCGTACCAGCTCCGATGGTAGATACAAGAACAAGCGTAAGAAATGCGTTTTGCCCTCTGGAGGCTTAAAACCGGAGCAAAGGATGTAGGATGTCTGCAGGTGAAACACGCGAGGACAATGAGAGAGAGTATATGATCACGGGTGAAATGACGATGGCATGATAATAGCAGTCACTCCCAGTTCTGCAGGCCTTCCTAAGGGATAGGCCCCATGTTAAGGGCATGACATTTGTTCTCTCAATTGAATCCCCATAAACAACCCTATGTGGGGAGGTTCTATTAACATGTCCATTTTTGAGCCGAGGGAACTCGGATTTGCAAGGTGGAAATAATTTGCTGCTACCACAGCTGATCAGGGCAGGCAGAACTAAGATTTTACCCCCAACTTTTAATTTTGAAAACACTTCCAAACTACAGGGAAGCTGGAAGACTAGTATAATGAAGATGCATACAGGCTCACCTACGGTCACCAAGTGTCAACATCTTACTACATGTGCTCTCTCATTCCATTCTCTGTCTCTCTCTCTCTCTCTCCACACACACACACACACACACACACACACACACATCCCTACCCATTTTTTTCCTGACCTACTTGAGCATAAATTGCAGACATCCTTATACTTCACCTCTAAATACTTCAGCACGGACCTCCTAAGAATCTTTTTTTCTCTCAGAATCCCAATCCAGCTATCACACATCAGAAACTTAGGCAGGATTTGAACCCAGCTCTGGCTCTGGAGCCCTGACCACAGGCGATGCAAGAATTCAGAAGAAGGAGCCATCAGGGCAGACTGGGAATTCCAGGATAGATTTTCTGTGGACCCTCCACTCCTGATTATTCCTAGCAATGGAAGAAAGGAGTTGGCCAAATGATCACAAAGGATGTGTAGTTGAAAAACAAAATTCTGTGAGGGGCGCCTGGGTGGCTTAGTCGTTTGGGCGTCTGCCTTCAGCTTGGGTCGTGATCCCGGGGTCCTGGGATCGAGCCCCAAATCGGGCTCCCTGCTCAGCGGGAAGCCTGTTTCTCCCTCTCCTTCTGCTCCTACCCCTGCTCATGCTCTCTCTCTCTCAAAGAAATAAATAAAATCTTTAAAAAAAATTCTGTGGTTTTCGGAGTGTGTTCTATTTGAGTGGAAGGGGAATGACATGGATTTGCCTTCCTAATTAGCTTCTTCTCTGGCCAGTATTAAAATTGGTTTTTCCTAATAATAATAATAATAATAATAAAATGGGTCTTTCCTAACCACCCGCTGACATGACAACTGGGGGTAGACAGAAGTTATGCGTTGATTAAACCATAATTGCAGAAAATCCATTAAGTGGGCAAGCCACATATGAATCATAGAGAAATGACCATAAATTCTAGCTAGAAAGGAATTCTTGCTAGAAATCTTAGCCACAGGTGAGGATTCAGCATGCACCATGTAAATCTAGTCCTTCCCCCCAACTACCAAGTTAAGAAGAGAGGGGCCCTCGCACTGCCCCGCTCCAGAGAGCCCAGTCTACTCACCCAGTGAAATTTCAGAAGCAGGGTGTTGCCTATTGAAGACGGAAGGGAAAAGAAGGCGCCCTACTACAGACTGCCTAATACCCCTTGAGGGTATTGGGTCCCTTGAGGGACCTGGTTTTCTTCTTTCTTCTAAGCCAGGGAAGGCAGATTTAGAAAGGCTGTCAGATCAGGCCCCGTCCTGCAGTGTGTAATGACCCCCCCCAAACATGCACACAGGAGAAATCTTGCCCTTTAAAAAACCCTTGATTTCTCGCAGTAATTTTAAAAAGCCCAAAGCCCGCACCCATGTTTGCTTTGCTTTTCATACTGTCACCAGGCACTTCGAAAATCAAAATATTGCAAAATCCAATATTGCCCCCACATGTCAGATGCCAGGGCAGAGACACCTTTTTATTGAACTGGGGTTGGGAAAGAGGCCCCTGCTGGGTTTTTCAGACCATAAGCCTTAGTTGGCATTTTTGCTCTTTCTCTAGTTCTCTCGGTTTTCTGCAGACACAATCCGATCAGCGGTATCTCTGAATCCATGTAATGTAAACCGTGTTATAATGGGGATCCACTGTGCACACACGATCTTTGCTGGGGACTTCCATCTGAAGGGCATTGAGATTTCACAACTTTAAGGACATTCATGCCCTCTTCTCTCTCACTCTCTCTCTCTCTCAGCTTTGTGACTCCAGCCTTGCTTAGGGTGTAAATCATTTTCCTTAAGATTGAAGGAGAACAGCTCAGAAGGGTCAAAAATAGTGTTCAGATTGAGGGGGGAATGTTTGCAACCTTGCTATTTAAAATCTGCCTCACCTCTCTCTCTTTTCCCCTCTGTCCCACCCGCCCCCCAGCCTGCAGAATCTAAAATGCCAGAAAGTGACTTATTCACATTGCCTTCCCAAAACTGGTGAGTGTCCGTCTCTGCCCCGGGGGTAAAGGTCTGGGCTAAGCCCCGAGGGCTTCCCCTCCTAGAGACTCCGCACACTCCTTAGCCCCGCGGGGATCCAGACTTAGCCTAAGACCGAGCATCTGGTATTTTGCACCGAGGATGCTGCGGTGGCGGGAAGTCGGAGGCAGGGGAAAAAGGGGAGTTAACAGTTCGCAGCCTCGTAAGGAACAAGCCCGGCCCATTTTGGACCTAGTTCAGCAGCCAGCGAGAGGCCTCGAGCAGAAACTTTATCTGGGTTAGTGCACCGGCCCGCGGGCGTGGGCTGTGCGTGCAGGCCCCTGGCTGCCGAGCTGTCCCCCCCGCATGGCCGCGGCGCCCGCCCCTGGGCAGCGCGGCAGTTCCGAAGCACCATGGCTGGCTTTTACGCCTGCCTGAAGACTCAAGAGTAAGTGGCGGGCGCCCGCACGGCTCCCACCAGGCTCCCGGGAGCCCAGGGTGGCGGAGCCCTCGGCCGCCGCCGCGGGGGTCTCTCCCCGCCCGGGGTGGGAGGGGCGGGGGGTGCCGGGGCTCGAACCCGCCGCCCGGGGGCAGCACGCGCGGGGAGCGGGGCGCAGGTGGGCGTGGGAAAGCGGCGCGGGCCGGGGGGGGGGGCGGGGAGGCGGTAGGGGGCCGCCCCTGGCTCACCTGAGTCCCCGGGGCGGCGGCGGGGCCGGGCCGCGGAGGCGGGGCGTCTCGCCGGGGCCGCTGCGGTGGTTGATTGGTCGCCTCGCAGAGGGAAGGGGGGCCGCCGCGTAGGGAAGAGGGGGCCAAGCAGCAAGATTGGGACTGGGGAGTCCCGTTATTCCCGGGGTGCCCCTCCCCGCGCCGCGCGATGCCCCGCTTCTCTCCCGGGGCGAGGGTCGTCCGCGGCGCCGGGGCAGCCTCGCCCGGAGCGCGCGCGTGACAAATGGCTCGAGGGTCTGAGACGGGACAGTTGCAGCGCGAGGATGTTTCTGTCCCCGGCGGGCGGGCCGCCAGAGAGGCGAGGGCCAAGCTGCAGGTTCGGGCGTGCACGTGTAATAAACGTGCAATAAGCCTAGCCCGCGTCCTCTTCAAACAAAGCGCCCCACGGACCTGGATTTGACAGGGCTCGTTTCCGGGACGGGGAGCGCCGTTCAAGTAACCTTCGCGGTGATCATTCATTCGGTGAAATCGTGGGTTTCAGGGACACGGGAGCGTTTGGTTCTGGCCCTAGTCAGCAGCCGGCGGGGCTGAAAATACAGATACGGGGGTGGGGAGAGGCGGGGGCAAAAAGTGAGAGAGACAGAGCCAGAGAGAGGCAGAGAGAGAGAAGGAGAGAGAGAGAGAGAGGACAAAGGAGGACCAGAGGGATGGAAAGCGAGCAGAATTTGAATGAGTGGAGAAAATCGCTTTAACTTTTCTGAGTGATCTTAATTTTCTAAATTTGGTGTAAGCTATACAAACTGCAGTCTCCCCCACTACTGGAAGGGTGTGGACCCCAAGCCGAGTATTCTCACGCTGCACCCACAGCGGTGGTTTTGGGTGTGGTGGGCACCTATTGCGGGAGGTGACACCAGGAAGAAGATATTAAGCAAAACGGATCCATTCATACGGCTCATTAGTGGGGGCGCGAGTGTCCATGAGTATTCCCCAGGTTCATTCGTGAAGCTGTCACCATCTGGAATCAGGGCCAGAAAGTCACCTCACTCACCGCAGGTCTCCAGTAGCACCGAGCCCCCGCTGCTCTCTCCTCTTGTGGAAAAGCACTGGCTAGACCGGGCCTGGCAGCCTCTGGCGTGATTTTCCGGGGCATCCGCTTTGGAGGTGGTTCAGGCAGGGGGCTGTGGGGACACTGACCGCCCCCTTCGGCTCTTGCTTCCAAACTGGCACCGTAGCCCGCTCCTGTTCTCGATGGGCCTGGAGTCTCGACCGGTGAAAAGTGGCCTTGCCGCTCTTTGAAAACCCTACCTCCGGGGCTCACCTGCCAGTCGTGCCCTTGACCTCTGGCCTCGGATGCCTGCGGTGGAAATTACGGCGCTTTCTCTGCGTAATTCGCTGTAGCACCAGATGACAGAGAAGTTGGCGGTGGAGGCCTTGGGAGGCGGGAGAGACAGAGCCACCGCCATGGGAGGTGACAAGGGCAAGGTTACTGTTCCCAGGTGAGCGTCCAGCCCTTCTTCCCTGGTGCTCAGTGCCTGCGTATATTAGATTCTCCTGCTCGAACCAGGGGCCTTCCTCAGGGCCCCTTCATGCCGATGTCTGCCTTCCATGGAGGGGATCCGAGGCAACCTGAGGCCTCTGGGGTGGAAAAGAGACCCTCATGGACCCGTGGCTATTCCTGTCGTCCCAGCTGAAGGCCCCAGTTCATCTGACCGTTTATTGAAACTAGGCTGAAGGAACAGGAGACACGGTAGGAAGGCATTTGAGGAGGTTAAGGAGCCATGGCCTCTGTAAGGAAGTGGCTGGGAGTCCCTTGGAGGACCTAACGGGTAGGGCGACTCGGTAGACATTCAGAAACATGGTGCACCTGTCTGCAGGAAGCTTTGTGCTCAACACTGTGGTGGTGGGGGGGGACGCGTGCTCTCCCTTCCCGGAGCCAGATAGGCATGGCGTCTGGTACAAGCATTTGTTGGAGGCGTGTTGTCGGCTCCTTGAGAAGCTTGCCTTCTTAGAGAGCGGCCAGCCGGTAAAGAGCGGTCTGGTCTGCAGGAGGTGGGGTGGGAGGGATAAGCTCAGTCAGGGGGAGCCGAGGGGAAGGAGACAGGGAGGGAAAGGGAGGGTGGAATTTGGGAGAGTGGGAAAACACCTTAACATTTCCTGCGTCGTCTTAGGTTTCTCCATTTCTTCCAAGCTGGACAAGATGCAGCCTCCCAGTTATCGGATGTGGCATAAGGGTTGGCTCAGTTTCCTCTGCAGATCACCCCTGCAGTCTCGATTTCATAGGTGCGTACGTTTATTTGATGAGTTGGAGATGGTTGTGGTGTTTGGCCAGCGGTGGAAATGGGTATATATTCGGAGCCATCCATACATCCTCGTAGGCCCTGACTCCATGCCACCAGCCACACTGATGCCTTGCTCTACTCCAGTTCCTAGGGGACCAGTTTTGGTGTTTGAATTCTGAACTGGTTATGGTGGATATGGTTCTTGCTTGAGGTAACTAGCTAGTAAGTCCCGTTATGTTCATAGACATGGTGTGACAGCAGGGGACAGGAATTTAACAAGGGATCAGTGGATATGCCTATTGGTGAAAGGGAGAAAATACTAGGAGTCTTGAATTACGTGCCACCATAATTATGTGCCAGTATATATGAGGAGATGAAGGAAACGCAAAAGAACTTTCTTTTTTTTTTTTAAAAAAGTACTTATTTGAGAGAGAGAGAGAGAGAGAGAGAGAGCACAAGCAGGGGGAACAGCAGAGGGAGAGGGAGAAGCAGGCTCCCCACTGATGCGGGGATCGATCCCAGACGCTGGGATCATGACCTGAGCCGAAGGCAGTCGCTTAACTGACTGAGCCACCCAGGCGCCCCAAGCAAAAGAACTTTCTTAACCAGACAAGATCCTGTAACGGTGGCATGGGTGAAAATGTCTTTATTTTAAGGGTGAGGTAATTGGGCCCCGAAGACGTTAAGCGACTCTCCCTGGGCCACCAGGCCATGACAATTCCAAGGTCAGAATCCTGAGTGCCCTGACTTGCGTCATGGAGCTGTATAGCGTGCACCGGAGGCAGGATTGGCCTTCGAGCAGAGAGCCAGAAGCACGCCCCCGGGGTGCTGGGGGCCCTAGCTGGGGCTGTTGCAGAGGCAGATTCAGCCCAAGACAAAAGAGTGAGCTAGGACAACTTTGTTCTTGGCCACCCCAGTCTCTCCAGTTACGGCCCCTTTCCCATGTCAGCCCCCTTCCTGCTCCAGGTGTTCTGGGCCTGAACCTTGCCCTTCCCTCCCAGCCCGTCTTCTCCAAGCCTCTGCCATCCTAGGCTGTGGACTTCCCCTTGGCTGACACCTTGCCATCCTTGGTCCAGGGGCTGGCTCTCAGTCAAACTGCCCTGTGATGTTGGATTACTCCCGACAATGTATGTTTCCATAGAACTTTGATGCTTTTGTGTCACTCCGATGCTTGGTGGCCATCTCGGGGAGCCAGCCAGCTCAGTGGGCCCCTCACACCGTGCCAGTCAGCTTCTCCTACTCTAAGAAGAGGATGCAGGAAGGTGAGGCTTAGCGCTTTGGCAACAGGCACCTGACACCTGACCAGGGTGTAGCTATTGTGATCGATGCGCCAGCCTGCTCCCCTTGGCTGCACACCTTCCCTGATGCCCCCCTGCCACGCCGTATGGACTGCTGTGGAGACCAGAGGCCACCAATACTGACTTTTTATGAGTCCTAGTTGCAGGTATTCAGGGGACCAATGCATTCCTTCTTCGCCGTGCGGAGGCCCCTGGCACCCAGATGCTGGAAGAGGTCTCCCCCGCAGGTCCTTCCAGTCTTGGACTGGCTCCCCATTCCACCTGCATCCTGTTCTCCCGAACGCGAAGCCTGGCCCCGTGTGAGCCTCCAGCTGGGGAAGGCAAACAGAAGCTAGCAGGAAGCACCCGACATGTGTAGCTGCAGCTACTAATCTTCCAGCTTCCACTCCTCCCTGTAGTAAGTGTTTGATGTGGTCATTAGAGATCCCTGTGGCACTTCGCTTCCTTCTCTTTTTCTCTTCTTCCCGGTGTTTCTTCCTCTTTCTCTTCTTCTCCTTCCTCCTCTTCCTCTTCCTCTCCTCCTTCTCCTTCTTCTTCTTTCTTTTCTTTCTTTCTTTCTTTCTTTCTTTCTTTCTTTCTTTCTTTCTTTCTTTCTTTCTTTCTTTCTTTCTTTCTTTCTTTCTTTTCTTCTTCTTCTCCTCCTCCTTCTTCCCCTTCTTCTTCCTCCTCCTCCTCCTTCTTCTCCTTCTCCTTCCTCTTCTTCTTCCTCTTCTTCTTCTCCTTCTTTCCCTTCTCCTTCTCCTCTCTCCTCCTCCTCCTCCTTCTTCTTCTCCTCCTCCTTCTCTTTCCTCTTCTTCTTCTCCTTCTTTCCCTTCTTCTCCTTCTCCTCCTCCCCCTCCTCCTTCTTCTTTTTCTTCTTCTTCTCCTTCCTCTTCTTCTCCTTCTTCCCCTTCTCCTTCTCCTCTTCCTCCTCTTCCTTCTCCTCCTCCTTCTCCTTCCTCTTTCTCTTCCCCTTCTTCTCCTTCCTCCTCTTCCTCTCCTCCTTTTTCTTCTCCTTCTTTTTCTTTCTTTCTTTCTTTCTTTCATTCTTTCTTTCTTTCTTTCTTTCTCTTCTTCTTCTTCTCCTTCTTCCCCTTCTCCTTCTCCTCTTCCTCCTCTTCCTTCTCCTCCTCCTTCTCCTTCCTCTTTCTCTTCCCCTTCTTCTCCTTCCTCCTCTTCCTCTTCCTCTCCTCCTTTTTCTTCTCCTTCTTTCTTTTCTTTCTTTCTTTCTTTCTTTCTTTCTTTCTTTCTTTCTTTCTTTCTTTCTTTCTCTTCTTCTTTTTCTTCTCCTTCTTCCCCTTCTTCTTCCTCCTCCTCCTTCTTCTTCTCCTCCTTCCTCTTCTTCTTCTTCTTTCCCTTCTCCTTCTCCTCTTTCCTCCTCCTCCTCCTTCTTTCTTTCTTCTTCTTCTTCTTCTTCTTCTTCTTCTTCTTCTTCTTCTTCTTCTTCTTCTCCTTCTTCTTCTCCTTCTCCTTCCTCTTCTTCTTCCTCTTCTTCTCCTTCTTCCCCTTCTCCTTCTCCTCTTCCTCCTCCTCCTCCTTCTTCTCCTCCTCCTCCTCCTTCTCCTTCCTTCTTCTCCTTCCCCTTCTTCTATCCCCTCCCCCTCCTCCTTCTTCTCCTTCTCCTTCCTCTTCTTCTTCTCCTTCCCCTTCTTCTCCTTCTCCTCCCCCCCCTTCTTGAAGAAAAGCTGTTAAGTCCCGTTCCCTGGCAAGGGGCCCAGACTGGGCATTTTGCTAACCTGCATTCCCCCTGTGGCATCTGCCCGAGACACTCCCCATTCATGAGAGCCATAGGAGAGCCGGTGGAGTGCCAGGTGCCCACCCTGGGGAGGCGCTGTCCTAGGCCCCCAGCCTCACCCGGGGCAAGTTCTTGAATAAACTACTTGCCATATCTACCAGTTTACCAAAAGTTTGCCTTTTTGGACTATTTATAATATAGGTAAACTTTTTAACTTGTAAAAATTCATTAGGAGGAAATGGTTTTAAAGCTTTTTTTTTTTAAGCTTTTGGAAAGTTCTCTGAAGATGTAGTTGGCAGGTTTCATTTGGTCATTAGCAGCATCCCGAGTGTTCCATTTGCTGTAGGGAGGTTGAGTTTCCTTGGGAATATATTTAAAATGTGGAAATGTCTATTATTTCATCAATAACCAGAATTTCAGCATTTTATATGAGAATGTTCATGCTAGTTTCAGTTGAAGCCTTTGAAAGCCCATTTGCTGTTGGGCCAACTTTAGCATTTGAGGGATTCTTTCGCTAATTTCTCACGGGGCACAATTTTTATTGTTTGTTATTTCTGGAAATCAGTAGCCAAAATGTAGTATGCGATGCAGTTGCTTCTGTGGTTTCTGAATTGATTTTCTCCTTTAACGCTCTTCTAGCTTTTTTTTTTTTTTTTTAAGATTTTATTTATTTATTTGAGAGAGAGAGAATGAGAGACAGAGAACATGAGAGGGAGGAGGGTCAGAGGGAGAAGCAGACTCCCTGCCGAGCAGGGAGCCCGATGCGGGACTCGATCCTGTGACTCCAGGATCATGACCTGAGCCGAAGGCAGTCGCTTAACCAACTGAGCCACCCAGGCGCCCCCTCTTCTAGCTTTTTAAAGCAATCCATTTTGTATCTTTCCTTTACAAATTCATAGTTATGGTTGGTGGCTAGGAAATTCGAGGACCTAATTGTCCAGGACATTCCAGTAATCCCCTCTTGGCATCTTCACTCACGTTCTGTTGCTTGAAATGCCTTTACTCTTTTCATGAAGTCTCCAATAGCTATTAAAACCACCCATCCGATGCAAATTGCTGTAAACCATGATTCAGTAGGAGAAATGAGTTTGGGTGAAATAGCTTGTTTTCAGAAGGTGAGGTTAATGAAAGATTGGCCGTTTGATTACTTCAAATACATTGGTAACCTTAACCCAGAGGTTCTCAGCAGGGACGTGGGGACTGATTTTGCTCCCCAGGGGACATATGTCTGGGGACATTGGTAGCTGTCACAGCTAGGGGAAAGGTGTGATACTGGCATCTAGTGGGTAGAGACTAGGGACGCCGCTGAACATCCTGCAGTGCTCGGGAAGAGACTCCCACCCTCCCGCCCCCAACCAAGAGTTTTCCAGCCAAATTTCTCTCTAGTGTTTTTGTTTTGATTTAAAATACCAAACATCTGCCCAGATACTGGAGACCCTCATTCACTAGATTTTTTCCTCTTTCACATTTACCGAAGTGCAAGTCCAAAGAGGAGCACCCTGAGTGTTTAGACCAGCATTATCCAATAGAAGCTTCTATTGGTGATGGAAGTTTCTGGAGTGTTCTCTATCTCTTCTGCCCACAAGCCACGTTTGGCTACTGAGCATTTGCTGTGTGACTAGTGTGACCGGGGAACTGAGTTTTTATTTTATTTCCCTTAAATGGGTTTAAAGTGAAACAGCCACATGTGCTGAGTGGCTTCCACATTAGACTCAACTTTAGCAGCACTGTAGCCCTGGTGTTTCGTGGCTCTGGGACCAGACAGTCCTAAGTCCGTCTTCACGGACCACCACTTTCTAGCTTGACAGGCTTGAGTCATCTAAGGCTTCTGAGCCTCAGTTTCATCATCTGTAAAATGGGGGTAATAATGGGACCTATTCCTTGGAAGATGATGAACATACAATGCAATAATGTGTGAGCAGTAAATCATGTAGCACGGTGCCTGGCGCAGAAAGCGTTTGAAAGATGTTGATCCTTGCCAGCGATCTGTGGTCAGTATAGTAATTGTCGTCCTGTAAGGGGGGCTTCTGCAGGGCTTCTAAACAAGACGTCCCCTGCAATATTCTTGAAGGCCAGAGCCCTAACTCTCGGCCCTCACCGCGTGACCACAGGCGGGCCTCTTTGGGCCTTGCTCTTCTCATCTGTAAAATGGGAATAACGTGATCATCACAATAATGCTACTTCCCTCTCTGTCGATGTCGCAGGATTGCTGGGAGGGCCAGATGGCTCTGGAGTGGTTTGAAGAGGACAGAGCCCTCTATGAACGTGAGGTTTGTGTTCTGAGTTTGCATGAAAGAGTGCTTTGCTTAGAGTCAGCACAATAGTTCTGCCTTTGGGAGAATTGTACATTCGAAACGAGGGTGCCTGCACCGGGGAGGCTGTATCGGAGAGCCGCGGGGAAAGCAGGAGCTCTCCACAATGTCGGGCCCTCCTCCCTCCGTCACCCAGCACAGCGTCTGGCCTGAGAGCTACACACGCTGAAAACCACGGGCACCATATGGTAGAAAGCGCATGACGCTTTGGAGCCAGACATGGGTTTGAATCCTCGCGGTGTTACCTGCTAGCTGTATGGCCATGGGTGAATGAAGGCCTTAGCCTGCCTGAGCCTCAGTTGTTCCCTCTGTAAAATGGATATAATGATTCCTACTTCCCAGGGTGGTCACAAGGATTAAATCAGGTAACTGACGGGCCCATAGGTTGCCCTCAGGAAACGTGAGCTCCCTCGCCACCCGATGAGCAACTGTTAGCTACTTAATTAGTCGTAATCCCATTTCTGTTCCTCTGGGATGGAAAAGGAAGTGCAAGCGTTGGCTGAGGGCATGGGAAAACGGTTTAGGCCTTTCTTGAGAGGAGGAGTCTCTCTGCCCAGAGGAGCAGTCTGGACCGTTTAGGGACAGATGAGGACAAAGGAGAAAGCACGGGGCTCTGAGTGAGTCACAAACACAGTGTTAATGGGGAGCCTGAGCAGCCTCTCCTGAACTTGGGAGAGCCCTGAAAGAAGTCCCCGGGCTCTGTGTGCCCATTCTACAAAGCCGGCCACCAGGGGGCCACCGGGGAGAGTAGAGCTACCTGCAGGAAGTCTCATCCCTTACTTTTTGGGAGAGCCATGAAGAACAGGGGACACATGTCATTCACACCATGGGATGAGAATGATGATGAGAACAGCTAACATGTCCTGAGGGCTTATTATGTGTGACGCCCCATGCCGAGAGCTTTCTATGAGCTAGTTACCAAATTGCCTGTGAGAGCA